CGCAAAACTAGCATCCCACTAACGAGTTATCTTTAAGCTGCTTTGTCATAACCCTATAGAATAATGGAACTATTACGTACCATCACAATTCGCTCATAACACTGACCTGTACAGCGTTAGGAGTGGTTCACACTACTTGGAATAATATGAAAATGCATGATTAATGAACATAACCCGAGCCATACCATACCTCTTTTAAAATCTACCTAACTAATCCACCTTGTGTGATTTTGTTATTGTAGTATTAATATAGCATATCGTCCAAATAAACATAGGTACCCTAAAAATTTTTGTATATGAGTTTTCCATTTTCCACGTGTTTTTCAAGGTTAGTAACCTTATTAATCTTACATTATACTCGAAACACAAGTTTAACATTGCATCACACTTATTTAATAGATATTCAGTCAAAAATGAATATATGTAGTCCGTGCGTAGTTGGTTCGTCGTACGTACAAACATAATTGTACCTACGACTTATTAAAAAAAAGTACATGATAAAAAATCATACAGATTTTTTACTAAATCCTTCAACAGAGCTGCACGCATATCTGGTGTGTGACCCCCCTTGGCGGAGGCGCCGCGGGCGTCGATCGGCCGCCTAATTTCAACCGGTTATTACGGGTCTCGGGTCGGACATCACATCCAGAATCTTTGTGGGAACCGTGCGTCGCGTCAACCATCACACACACAGGGATGCGACGCATATTGATCACGATCTTAGTTTGTTCTATTTTTAGCAATTTACCGCCATATTGTTGTTTTAATACCGTGTTTGTGAAACTGGGATTGATTTTTAAATAACATTATTATTACATGAAATCACAAGTTATAAGCTTAGGTGGAACTTGATCAATTTAATTTATCATTTGTTTATGAATACACAATATGTTTATCGGTTTATTATTCATATTCATAGTTCATCATTTGAGTCTTGGCACACGACGACACACAACGTAAATGTTGCTTCAAGCCCGTTTTCTGTAGCTGTAGCCACGGCCTTAGCCGTGGTATCACTGTGGTCGAGCCGGCCCTTTCGTGCCGCAGCATGGCTATCCCACATTTAGGATATTATTACACGTTATTTATTATCCTAGTCAATAAAAATATCGTAATTGCCTAAACTTCATAATTTAAATAAAATCGATAAAGAATTTCAATAACTTCTTACATACAAATATATACCACTGTCAAATTAACACACAAAATCTTTATTTACTAGATTCATCTTAAACAGTGCCACAGCCCTAGGGTTTTCAATAGAAGGATGTTTGTTATTGTAGTGTGAAACTGAAATCAATGACATCGCACCGATGCGACGTTGACGAGAAATTGCTAGTTAAAGTTCAATTTGTAGTTTTAGAGCTCCAGCGCACAATAGGCATGTGTGCTAAGACCAAATTCTAGTTCCTATCATCGTTGTTCATTTTCCGTATTGGATAAATTATTACTTAATTTTCCAGATTTTGAAATTGTTTTACATACGTAAGTACCGTAAAAAAAATGACTGTTCATTCTTTATTACTCCTCTATTAAGCTTAGAGATCCTCCTCCTCTATTAAGATTTGGCAGTAACCTATTATATTATTTGGAATAAATAAAATTAAACTAAAGAAAACCGCTACACATTTTATTGAAAACCTCACTTGCTACGACGTACACGCGTCCGCCTACGAGCGCTACGCGCTGCAGCGTTACGGACAAGCTCCCTACAAGTCTGCTACGAAATATAAAGCTACGAGTCATTTTCTTTAATTTTACACTTTTTTTTCAATTAACCCTTTCACAAAATATATTTATTTTAACTTTTAATTTTAATTATATTTAATTTTAATTTGACTAAGGGCTGATTTTTCAATGGTAAAAAATACCTGGAGAATAATTATTTATTCAGTCCTCACGCGACTTCATCATAATGATGCCGTTGTCTTAGAATGTTTGTATAAGACAGTTTTATTCCTCAGATAAAATTAACCAGACCTGAGTTGAAAAAAATCAGCCCGAAATTCAATAATGAACCTGTTAAATTAATTTCATTCTCGGTAGTCATTTTTTTGATTAGGAGGCAAACTGGCTGACATATCAACTGATGTTAAGTTATTTATTATGTTTTCGGCTTACTCACGTAATAATTTGACGAGATACTCGACTAGTTCCAAGCCATGCCTCTGCCAAAGCCGAAAACATAATAAATAATTTAGAATGATGTTAAGTTATCAACGCCGTAATAACACTACAAACACAAGATGTTTAAGAAGAATTTCGCTCTTCTCTGCTGTGTATTCATGAAGGTTTGAAGTTTGGATTGGTTCGAGAATACGGCGCTAAAAGATCATTCCACGGTTTTTCTGTGATCCGAAAAAGTTTTGCAGTCACAAAAACCGAACAATGGTTATCATCCAACCATCTGTGAAGGGGATGGAAGTCGATGGCAAAAAACCAGCAGGGTTGAAACCAAAAAATTTAACCGAAAAGATATTGGAATTGTACTTATATTCTTACCTTTATAGAATTATTGATTTGAATATCGTAAGATCGTCATAGTAACACTATTTACAGTATATTTCATGTTAAATTAATTTTATTATCATAATTATCTAGCAGCCCTGCGTAGACTGCTGTTTACGGCCCGTCGGTTTTCTTTATGTTAATGACGCGCTTACGACGTAAGTACAGCCTTTCTTATCAGGTGAATCTGTTCCATTCTGTCTACTACTAAATTATCCCACACGTTGGAACAAACTAGTTGATGTACCTATTATAATTATATTAGTATATTAATGCTAAGTAAGTTATAATAAAATCTGCCTAAATTGGGAAATGGTAGACGTTGCAGACATTCGTTTGTAGACTTCCTAAAATGTTAAATTAAAAGCAGGAGTATCCGTAAGTTTCTTACTAAAACCCGGTATCCGAAAGGCCGATCAATGTTAAAATCAATTTAATCTCTTGTCAAGTCATATGATTGGTTGACTGAATTATCAACAACCAATGAGATGACTTGACAAGAGATTTAACAGGAGATTAGTTATTTTTAGCGTTGACAAGCCTTTCAGAAACCGGGTGTAAATATCCAAAATTAATTTGATGGTAACCGGGAGACAATGTTATAAACATTCATAATTCTGAAATATAAAATCTATGGGAAAACATAGACCCTATGTGTGTAGAAGTATTTTTTACTTATCACCCAAGACACAGGAACTTTGTGAGTAAACTTACAAGTTATTGGTTTCTGCACTTACGTTCAAATGAATATAACAATACACTACTTTTCTTACATTAAACTTCAAACTTTGTGATAGTTTTCAAATATAAGAATTTATATAATCCTTGTGACATTATTGAAATTCTTCTTGCGAAACAGAAGTAACAATCTTGATGGTAAAATAAGGAATGACTGTAAATATTTCGATGTTATTTACAACTAATTAAGTGGTGAAATAGTTAAAACTTACATAAGGCAAAAGGTATACATATATACAGCCTTTTTGGTTAAATGAAAGTTATTCATATTTTCATAATCGCCTGATTTTTTTTCTTTCCAATCAATGTAGCTAACAGATAAGTACTCGATTATTAAATACATTTTTCCCTTCAAGCGTTGAAACGCTATGCTTACCCCATCAACGAAAACAACATAAGGTGTCAATATTGTATTAAAACACAATACCACAACAATATTCTAGAATTTTGCATAGCAAAATTTTTCTAGAAAAATCTTCTGAAACCTTAGAAAACTGTGAGAAAAGTTAACAGTTTTGTCTCACTTGAAAGACGCTCACTCTTTGTCAATATTATTATGAGTTGCAAAACTCAGTAAAAAGGAACACGTGTACGAAGAAAATTTTATGATTTTTTTAATAGATTCTTTCTTAACTAGATCTGGAGTTGGCAAATGGCATTTTGTTAATTTAGTTTGAATTATATTTCGTTTAAGATTTAAGCGTAATCGGTCAAATTTTACATCGTTTAAGAGTTATAATGTCCATAACAAAAACTAATATCATAAAGGTACTATTAAATAGTGGCTCTATTTAATAGTGCTTACCTTTATGATATTAGTTTTTAATTCAAATTATTTATTTCAATTAGACCATTAGGAGCGCTTATTTTAGCGTTTTTGGTTAAACTAAATAATTAAATTTATGATGATATATGTTACACAGTGAAAATGTGTCAGTCTATCCCTTGGTTAACCTGTTTGCTGGTTACAAAGTTTTTTATTCCTATAGAGAAGGAGGATGAACAGTAATAAAAACATTCAAATAAAGTAATAAATCGTATTTAAAACATATAGGTACTTTAGACAAAAATAAGTAATTTCAGCAAAACTCACTCTAATTCAAACTTTTGCAAATCCTTCTTCTTTTACAAAATATTTAACAAAACAAAAATAAACATACTTTAAAATTGTTCTTCGATAACAAACGCAGCTAAATGTAAAAATAGAGTAGATTACGACAACAAACAAACAATCAAAACAATAATCAAAGAACTGAAGCGTCGTTAAACACAAGGTTACTTTCAAAGATATGTACACCAATTACTAGATTAAAGGTTTCACATAATGACATCGATGTGTGGGAAAACTTAAGGCATAAACGCATTACACATGTGGATTACGACAGGACGCAGGTACGGAGGCCATAATCAGCTCCGTATGTGATTGACATATTAATATGAGGGACTATACAACCTTCTTTATAAATCATATTACTTATTTATGCACATTAGCCAGTATAAAGGAATGGTAATGAAGAAAATAACTACACATTTACTATGGGTTTAACAATAAATCATTTTCTTTATTAAACTGTTTGTTGTACAGGATTCCGCAAGGAATTTTCTGTTGAACTATGTAGGATATATGGACTGATTAATATGTCATTCATTATGAGATTTATTTAATAAAAATTTAGATACTTATAATTAACATTTTAGATGCTTACTGAAAATCTTGATACTTCGACTAACACGCAACTTACCTGTTCTACATAATGGCATATGTCTACGTAAGTTTAACATTATCTTATATTATTCATATTTTGTGCGAAATTACCGTAGACTCGACAGCGGGACACGTGGGGAGCGGCGGCGACGGGCGGTCACCATAGGCGACCGGCGCGTAGGCGGGCCCGCCCAGACCTCTTCACCGAACATTGTGTAAGTACGCAACCTCTAGAGCATTTTTACTTATCGTAACGACTCCGCTGATTACAAAACGTCTCGCGCTCCCATAACTGTCTTAAGATTTATTTCGTACTTTATTACACTTACAACTTTATTACTTAAAAAACTGAAAGTCTATAATATATTAAAGCCTGTAAATAGTTTATACTAAATAAGTGCAATGTGATAAGTGTCAAATGATTGTTCATTTAAATAATTTGCGTAATTTATTGAACAATTATTATTGTTAAGTGTTGTGTAAGTTTTCTAAGTTAACAGAACAGTAGGGCGGGAAAGTGAGGCACGAGGCAAATGGGCGGGCGTTGCAGTCTCGCTTGCACAAAATGCACCACCCCCGACGGAATGCGTTGCGTTTGCAGTCCGCGCCGCCGAGCCGTCGCAACTGCCCGCTCGCTGCGCCCGGTTATACTAGTCGCGACTACGTTACGCGGCCTGTAACGAGGTACCAGGCTACCAGGATCAGCAAGGAGGTAAGCCCTTACATTCGTATTACTGCCTGCTCGCACCCTCACCTCCGCCTTATCCCTGTCCCGTTTCAGCTGAAAGTTTGAGCGGTTTTCCCTTTTATCGTTGGAATGTGGGAAAGCGGGTTTTGGTGTCCCAACTCTCTCTTTCAATTTGTAAGCGCGTCGTGATTATTGCGAGGTGATAACGAGGTAAACAACTAGAACGCGCTTTACAACGACGTTCGGGAAATATTAATTTTTGAAAATGTATGTAAGATTATTATTTTTCGGCAGTAAGAAAGTTACTAAAATTGTTAACGAACACATTTTCACGTTTAAAACGTGATGTGAACTTTATGAAACTTAAAGAGAACACGTTATAAATTATAAGAAAATCAATCTTAATGTTTTCTATTTTTCCAAGGGGTTCATCAATCAGATTTTTCAATTTCTATAAATAGTTGCAATTTTGAAACAACTTGTAAAATTCAGTAAAAAATAATAATATCATCCTGTTTCCTTTTTTTGAAGAGGGATGGTTTGTACTTGGTGTATTTTTTATAATACAGTGAGTTATTTTCGAGATAATATTTTCATAAATTCTGTCTGAGTTTTCATTATACAAAATTACAAAGCGATGTATATAAAAAGGATTGTTTTTTGTTCGCAATTAATTGGCATACCTCCCATAACTATGAATTTAATCCGTTTTACCTTTTGAGGTAACATAATACATACTTTAAACAATTAACAAAAGCACAGACCTGAATCTATTTATACTAGGTTTCGATAAGATTTATGCTACCACGAGCTGTGACCAATACGTTATTTATAGCCGCTTGAGGTAATATTATATCATTCAGTTATCACGCGTGTCATCAGAAATCATCTTTCACAAATACGTAGATAAAAATATGCAATTTAATACAAATTAGTACTTTTTTCTTTTAGGATATTTTGAGAAGAATCCAATAAATAAAATAAAACTACCTTGCGTATATTTTTTAAGAAACACTACTTCTTATAATACAGTCATCTCGTTTGCCAGCCACTCTATTCCATAGTAACGACTCTGAAGACTATCTCTTAGAAAGTTCAATCAAACTAGAGTTTAACGTTGAGCTTTTATGCCAAGTGTTCTTACCTTAGCTACTTACGCATAAAATTGTTATACATATTCAAACAAAAAGTCTAATAAAATTTTATTATCCATAATTCTTGTTTTCGTGAACAATAACAAGAAGTTGCTTCAGTACTACATTTGAAATTACAATAGGAAAGAAATAATAAAAAGGAAAGTTTGTGGTTAATTTAGCAAAGATGAAAAATATGTGTAAGTACTTAAATCGGTCATCAAACGTTTTATCCACTTAAAAATCCTCATGTAAATTGGGCAACAAATCGTCGGACGCCTCTCCTAAGTCAATGCCAAATAGTACCAGGCGGACAGAAAGTTATAGAAGGTGCCATTAAGTGCTCGAGGAAGGGCGGCGGGCGTCCCACGCACCCACGCACCCACACCCCTGACCGCGAACGCTGGCCCAACGCAGTCCACAATGAAAATCAGTTTTTCTCGCACCCGTCGATAGTTTAAAATTAAACGTCATTCTGGCTGCGGTTAACACTTAATTTGTACAACGCATAATGTTATTACTTTGCAATTCAATTTATTATATCCCTGATACGATTGTTGTGATAATGATCGGAGCTCTTAATGAAATTAATATCCGATACAATTTGGAAGAATGAAAGGCATTTTGGTTTAGTCGATTTAATTAGTCGTGTTTGATTGCGTGCTTTAATTTATGAATTAAAACCTATATGAAGGACAAAAGTTCCCAAGACACATTGACAAGTTGTCATTTTAAAATTATAGTTGAGTTTTCTTAGAACGCGTTGCACCATGTGCCTAACTTTTAAATTGTTCTCAATTTTTACCATTTATTTTAACTACATTTATACTACACAAAAAGGATACGTCACAAGTATTTGACGGCATAACTTAAATTATTATAGAGAACTTATTTATAAAAATAAAACGCCTCCTTAACAAAAAAAATATTGCTATTGTCAATCAAAAACGCTGTTTTAATATCGTGAGCAAATTGAATAAACAAGTAACTAAATTATAATGTTAAGACATTTTTGTTAAGTCTTTAGAATCTTAGAGCATATTGTTACAACTGTAAATACATTATTTTGTAAACACATTTTTTAACAATTAGATATTGAGTACTAAACGTGCCCACAGGTAGGCTTTTCGACACACATTTATCTTTGGTATGGAACGGCGGCCGTCGGAAACAATGTCTACTGAATACATGCAAATACCAAAAAATACTATCAAAGATTTTGGACATTTTATTTCAAAGTTTCAATATCAACTGGTTGGTGGATTTATTTTTCTGACCAACTATGCGAATACACAGTACTGGTATCATAATAATTTAGGTGGTTGATAAAAAATTGTCTTTCATTAGGAAGTATCGTGAGTGAGTTGGTATGCTTGGACACCATATTTAACATTCAATTTTAGTTGTTTTTTTATGGTATAAGTTGGCAAACGAGCAGACGGATTACCTGATGGTAAGCAATCGGCGCCGCCCATGGACACCCGCAACACCAAAGGAGTTACGAGTGCGTTGCCGGCCTTTTGGGGATAGGGGTTGGGGATATAAAGATCGGGAAGGGATAGGGGAGTGGGAGGGATTGGGCCTCCGGTAACCTCACTCACACGGCGAAACACAACGCTGTGGGTTGTTTCACGCCGGTATTCTGTGAGGTCGTGGTATCACTCCGGTCGAGCCGACCCATTCGTGCCGAAGCTTAACTCTCAAACACTTAAATTTAACTTATGAGTAAATTTAAAGTTGTATTATAAAAAAATGGGTAAATTTAAATTACAGTCATTATTATTTCGAAAGAATTAGGTTATTTGTTTTGGATAATGGTATAATCAAATAATCAAGTTCATTAATGTATCGAAAACAATATTTATATAATATTGCTTCGCAATAAGATTAGGCAATACTTATAATCAGGATGTTAAAAAAATAATCAACTTATGAAAACGTCGGAAAACGAAAATGTACTGATTAAAGACGCATTATTAAGGTACTTGTTCTCGATAAAGTGCTTGGTAGGGTTGTCGGTTAATAAAATTATATGGGAAATAATTAATAAATACTGGAAATAAACTTATAAACTAGTCAAACTCAATTTCTTTTGGCATAACTGACAATTTTCAATACAACAATATCGTGCAAAATTGATATTACTGATGGTTGAACGTTATAGTGACATGTTTTTTCAACATATAGCATATTTAGTTATTCCTTGAAAAATTGGTATAATACAAATAGTTATTGTAATATAAAGATAATGAACCAAAGTGTTATTGCTTTTTAATATTTCAATGCATTGAATTACAAACTCCGAACTCAGTATCATATAACTTGTATTTTAACGATTAAATAAAATATGTGGTGTTTTACAATGTTATTCTACTACCTATAGGTACTTTTGCGATAAAGGTGACTTTAGTTTAGCTCTTTGTTAAATATTGGTTTAAATCGAATACTTGATTGTAACATTAAAAAAAATCATATAACTTACAAACAAGTAAGTATTAGTGTAAGTATTTTTGTGTAAGTATGTATATTTTTATAGTATGTGTTGTTCCAAAATTACTTAAAATATTGTTATGTAAAATGTATGTGATTAAAAAAAAATCTATTAAAAAAGGTGTATATTTTATTGTGAACTTAAACAATGTAAATAATATTTGATGATTTAAAAAATATATATAAAAGATATTTCAGATTAACTTCGGATTAAAATAAAATACTTACATGATTAATTTCGCTTTTCTATGTCGTAAATATGCGAGCTGGTTTTGAAAATGTTTATTAATAGTCATATTTATTTATATAATAAAAACATGTCAGGCTGAGTTCTTAACTATATATACTTAGTCGGGTCATAAGTTCTGTCAAAACCTTATATTTTTAATTTTCGATTACTGGCCAGAAATTCTTCGACTTATTTTAAAAATAGAACTTTCGCGCTTGTAGAAAATAAAAAAGAAATTATTTTTTATTCATTTTTAAATATGGAGTGGTCGAATAAAGAAGACAGAATCGCGGTTATCGCGTTGCACCGCTGTGGTTACGCGCCAAAAGACATTTTCAATATTCTTCAAAATTTGAAAATAACGTTACGGTTTGTTTATCGTACTATCAAACGATACACCGAAGAGTCAAGCTTCGAAGATCGTAAGAGAAGCGGCCGACCTCGCACAGTTCGGACACATAAGGTCATCAAAGCAGTGAAGGCGCGAATCGAACGAAATCCCGTACGTAAACAAAAAATCCTAGCTCTGCAGATGGGGCTAAGCAGAACCACTGTTAAAAGAGTACTAAATGAAGACCTGGGACTACGAGCTTATCGTAAAAAGACAGGACATTTTTTGAACGAGCGTTTAAAAAAAATTAGGCTAGACAGATCCCGCGCTTTGCTACGACGGTACGCGGGAAAAAAATACCGCGAAATTCTTTTGACCAGCGTGGGCATTACCCTTCCTCATTCATGGTTTGGCTTGGAGTCTCATATTCAGGCGTAACTGAGGTGTTTTTCTGTGAAAAAGGTGTGAGAACTAGTGCCGAAGTTTATCAAAATACTGTCCTAACAAACATAGTGGAACCTCTTTCTCAGACAATGTTCAGGAACAGGCATTGGATATTCCAACAGGACTCTGCACCGGCTCATAAGGCACGAAGTACGCAAGACTGGTTGATCGCTCGTGGAATTGACTTCATCCGGCATGAAGACTGGCCCTCTTCTAGTCCAGATTTAAACCCACTGGACTACAAGATATGGCAATATTTGGAGGAAAAAGTCTGTGCTAAACCTCACCCGAATTTGGAGTCTCTCCGAGCATCTCTGGTTAAAGCAGCGGCAGACATAGATATGAATGTGGTGCGTGCAGCGATCGATGACTGGCCGCGTAGATTAAGGGCATGTGTTCAAAATGGGGGAGGGCATTTCGAATAATGTAAATAAAATTATATTGTACATTTAATGACCTTTCATTTCATATATAATTTTTAAATAATTGTCAAAAGGCGTATAAGTTATTACATCAAAAGTTTGTGACAGAACTTATGACCCGACTAAGTATATATATGATCTTCAAATATCCTGTAATAATAAAAAGGTATCTCCCATCGTGCCAACAATTACTCTTTGAGCATTATTATAAAATTATATATACATCATAGGTATAACACCAATGTAAATATTCTACAGTTCTGTTCATTACTTCAGTGCCTTTATTAATACTATTCAGTGTTGTGAAATTTTTATACGCTATTTGTTGTTATTTTTCAGTATTTAAGAGTTTAAAATTCCAAAAATTAAGTGGTATCCATCGTCTCAATTCTCCACAATTTTCTATCGAAACCTAACATTGCAATACTATTACTAAACCCTTACATAGTTCGTAGGTCAAATAAATTATAACTAGATATTGTATAGTGATACTAGATTAGTTCTAAACTTCATAAACTTAACCCAAAGATCTGAAATCATATTTCGTAATAAACCGAATCTGCTATAGCTGTAACTTCATAGACTTGATCGGTTTTACAATTGAACTGAAATGTAACTCGCATATGACCATCGTAGCGTGATTATATTATTGTACCCAAGTAAAACTGATCCAAAAACTGAATAAAAAGAAGTTCTAATAACAATTTACTGATAAAACAGTTATCACATCCCGACCACGCACTTATTCGCTGAAGAGATATTTCGGGAGCAGAAATCATGATGTTTATTCTTGTAATAATCTTTCTCCCAATTATCGAAAATCAGCGATTAAGTTTCAACAACAAGTTGACGAAAATACCACTTAGCCAACGCTTGCCTACGGCTACATGTAACTGATACTTATAACTTCCAAATAACATATACGAAGTTATTTTTAGTAATTATGTGGTAGGACAAATTCGAATCATTGGGGGAGGGGAGAGAGGTGCCAACTGAAAATCAGTATTGGGGGCTCATTATTGTTCTCTGCTTTTTGCTGAGTTGGCGACCCGTTCGGATTGGACATGTCTGCCAACACTGCGTTGTATGTTATATCTATTAATATTAGCCTCTTTTGGCATTATAATTTAGCGTATAACCTTTTTTCTCTCTCTCTCTCTCTGCTTTAGGACCATGAATGCCATGGATAAAAAATATGTTTTAAAAATATATTTTTACTTTTGCAAAATAATCACATTTCAATCATTTCTTCAATTTTTTCGGTTCTAACTGCCAACGGAAATTTTTATCCGGTCCTTTTTATAAAAGAGTGATGTTGTATACGTTTGTTACTTACATGGCCTAACAGATCTGCATATTAGATTGTTCCCGGAATTTTGTTAACAGAACGGCAGTAGCCGACCGTCGGACGCCCGGTTGCGATCGCAGAGCGCGACGGATAGCGCGAGCGGTGCAATGTCGAATCGAAGTTTTACTCTCTCACTGTCCCGCTTAAACTTTGCCTGAATTGAATCGATCATTCAAAAAACATCCTAATAACAGATATTTCTAAGTAAAACAAAAAGACTGTCTTTTTAGCCAGTTGGTAACAGGCGTGAACAGTTTGGTTTTCCGAAAACTCTTAACTACGATATTTTTGTTTAGAATAAGTGCACTAAACTTTGCCAATAGTTTTATAATATCAAATTGGATTAAAACACATGTGCTGAAAAGTGGATGTTACATAGTAAATGTATGTGAACCTTTTGTACCCCTTAAGAGATTATAATGATTTTAGAAGCATAGATATGTTGACCTTTACCTCCGCGAAATGTAATTTGACCTAAAGATAATGTGCCTACTTGTTAACTTCAGTGTCAGAAATAACGGTATTCGTCAACAAATAACTTTTTACTTTTTTAGTGTAAAAATAGTTATTAAAGATTCATATTATTTCAAATTAGTATTTTTATTTTTTTATATAATTTGATAAAAAACAAACAAAGGCAGTATAATAAGTAGGTATGTACTGTTTGATTTAAACTCAAATATAGGTATACATGTAAACCAAGAATGAATTGTATAACGGTAATATTTCCGAGTCATGCTACGACTTATCACAGTTTACTGTCCGTAGAAAGTTAAGATACTTGCGTTTATAATCGGCTTTCTTTACCCGCCTTACTCCGGTCACCTTTAAATGCACCTGTTCACAGAGGCTCA